ACACACACATGGTCACAAACACACACTCCCCTGCTGTGTTTGGACAGTACAGCTCATAAGCTCTATCCCCAACACGTGGCCAAATGAAGCCTGCATTTTTTTCTTTGTGTGTGTGTGTGCATTTAGCCTAGTGTGTGTGTGTGTGTGTGCGTGCCTGGCTGGCTGCCCACGCTGACTGTAATGTAGCCTGTCATATATAGGTTAACACTACTCTCTAACCTACCCAGCCAATCAAAGGCAGGAGATGAGAGGAGAAAGCGCAGTGGCCCTAGGCTCTACATAAGGCTGCAGTACCCATTGACAGCACTGACGGACCGGCTTATTGTCTGGCCGACTGGCTCGCTAGTTGTCTGCCTCGCTGGCTGTTTAGTTGGCTTTCTGCCTACCTTATGTATTTCTCTATTTAAAGCCGTAGGTTTACTGTATCAGCAGGAACAGGGAGGGAGGCAATAAGCGGGATGTTTGACCTCCGTTACCGTTCTAAGTCCCTATGTTTAGTCGCCTGCCGATCCACAGGGGGTGTCGGCCTGTCGCGTGCTCGCATTTGTGGCATCAGAGCCCAAAAAAACAAGGGATGTACTGTGTGTAGTAGTCAGGGTTATAATGTTGTGGCTGCCATGTTCTTGGCTGACTCTGATGGTGTGACTGGGCAACCCTTTTTTTTTTGCTGTTTTTCTATCTTTCAGTCTCTTTCTTTGACACACACGCACCTCATTCACCACATCGCCCTCCTCGCCCTGACAAGATTACAGCCTCCTGTGCTCCTTAATTAACGGGTTAAATAGACCCCCTACTATGGACCTCCAAAGGGGCTGCGTGTGTGGAGGGGGGAGATGGGGGAGGTCACATGACTGTTCATTTAGACCAGTATTAAAAAGAACCCTGTGTCCTTCTGATTAGCATGATGGTGTGTGTGTGTGTGTGTATATCAGGGCAGAGGCTGATCAAAAGACTAATTAACACATCCACACTGCAGCTGGTTGACTTAAGAGAAAGACATTCTGCCCTTATTCTTTGTGTAGCACAATTAGCTTATTATTATATTAGAATATTATTTAAGAGTTAAGCTACTAAAGCATTAAATACATATTCCAATGAGCACATTGTCTTTTTGTCATCAACATGTGAATTTTATGAAAACGATTGTTGGGAACTTGGGATATTTATATTTCTGGGTACAAGACAGGTTCGTAGGATTTGGTTTTATATGAAATACATCTATGTTTAATCAGTCTTAGTAGAAACAGAGCAGCAGCATGGTAAAGTCATTAGGAAGAGCCATTCAACCAGAAGTCCCCCGTGACTGCAAGCATCCACCGAGCTGAACGTCCTTGAGGAAGATAAAGAATCCTTCACCTTTGACCTCTTCAAACGGAGCAAGACGGATGATAAAGGAAAAAAAAAAATCCTGATTTATATGCCGTCTGAATGTTTTTTTTCAGGATTGAGCTTCATGCACCCATACAGATGTGCTATTCTGGAGTGCTAGAGCGCAGATGCAGGCATGCACACACACACACACATGCATGACTACACATGTGTTACACACTGCATGCATGCATACATTCACAAGCAGCCAGGACTCTCCTCCCCCCTACTTGGAGCATGTTGACCCTCATATATATATATATATATATATATATAGAGGTCATGGGATCTATGCTTTGAAGTCTGGAGTGCATATCATGAAAAAGAGAGCTGCCCTTTAGTACTGGTGTTGCGAGGCTCTACAAATATCAAGAACACGAGAAGTGTTGTTTTCCCAGACAATCCCAAGGCAAATGTCTTATGAATTATTTACAGGGTAGTTGTTTTAGGGAGGTGGGGGAGAATTTACTACTTTTTCCTCTTGGGCTTGATGCATGGTAGACGAAAGATGCTTTTGACATCTTGAGCATTTATTCACCTACAAACTGTACACACGCTGCACCGCTACGTTCACAGCTATAACGCTACTGCTAACTTCATAGTCATCGTCACACACGCTTGTTATCTCGACCAGACACTCGCTAACGTTACGCCAGGCTCACAATAAACAGGTGGAAACCCTGACAGAGTAAGTCAGGCAGACGCACACAGCTGACAACCTTGCAGCTAAACGAATTGACTGGATGGAGGCCGACTGGGAAAGTGGCTGCATGTATCCACAACAACACACTGGTGCATCAGTTATTGTTGCTGCTGAGCGGTTTGTTAGCCACTTCAACCACAGCACCCCTGCATGCAAGGCACTGATGTTGTCTGTTAACAGTTAATGATTGATTAACGATGGTCGTCTATCGGTGAGAAAGAAATTATTAAATATTAGCAGTGTTCTACAAATCTAGCACCCACTTTACCAGTTTTACCAGGCTGGTGGTTGGTGCATGCACTGTTTAAATTTTGTAAAAATATTTGATCAAATAGATATAAAAGTGATGTTTATCTCCATATTTTATTGTATAATCTTTCAAATATTAGTTGTCAGTTGTGCTGGATTCCATTTACCTATGAATGTAACAGGACTTCTGTGCCTTACAGGTATTTGAAGCCTGCAAAGTATGACAGTGTCTTTCAAAGAGTCTCTCTGCTACTTGGTGAAACCTTATCAGATCTTGTGTTGCTGCTTTGTCACCCCCTCTGTTCTGGGAAGTGGGAGTCTATGAAATAGGAATTTCCCTCAGGGGATCAGTAGTTATCGCATTAAGGCCACATGTCTTGCATAGCATTAGTCTGTTTAACTTTTAACTTGTAACTGCCATTTCAACAACCTTTTAATGAATATGATTCATGCTGCCAAAGGTAGCAGTTAAGAAGCCCTGACAGGTTAATTCTAAAGTCAAAACGTGGGACAGTAATTGATTAATGCATGGATTGCTGATGAGTACTGACCATGTGACTGGCAGATGGCATGTTAAGCATCCGAAGAGACAGACGGACACAAATTGCTCGGAAACTCACCTCTCTGCATCAATTAGTTACACCAATTAACATGCCAGTAACTGTGGTTTAACAAGGTTTTGAGATGAAATGAGGTTTGGTATTTTCAAGTAATTTCCATAGATATGCAAAATAGCAGTGTGGATTGTTGGATAACAGTGACTGGGGAGGAGAGTTTGTGGAATGTCTCTGAGGCTCACTAAAACATGTTGACACCCGTGATGGCATCAGTCGTCGTGCATGCTCTTTTTAATGTCTCTTGGGCAACACACAGTCAGATAAAGACACAGGCTCTGTATCCTGCGAGCACCGAGAAGAAAACTTCTTCTCTTTGATTCAGACAGATGAAATGGTCAGAATTACATAAACAACATTCTCACTTTACCGTGCTAATGAAATCTGCAGACCCTCTGTAGCGCAGTCTACAGAGGGTCTGCTGTTGTAGCTTTGACAATGTAGCCGGACCATTTAAATGCCGCATAGAGATGTTTGAATTGGATTTAACAGACAGTCTTTGAATGCGTCTGTGCTTTCTTTCACATGCTTGTGTCACTGACCCTACTTGGACAAGGGTCCATTATCACTGTGCTGCTAATGATTTTAGCCAAACACACACTGGTTCCATCTCATAGAACAACATAGTGTCAAACAACAACCCAGTGACGCACGGTGCCATTTTTCTCCCCACAGAAATCCTAAGGCCACGGTGCAGAGGACCAACAAGAAGGTGAACAATGACCCCACGCTGCGCATCCAGAACCTCTCTATTCTCATCAGGCAGATTAAAGGCTACTATCAGGTAAGAGTTCTCTCTGCTGAACAAGCTGCAGAGTCAGATATCAGCTGTTCCTCTTTTTGCTTGAACAGTGTTCACGTTGCGATGAAGGTTGCGAACTGTTTTATTTGCAGTCTCTCTTGGTCAGACTCATGATGAATAACTTGTATAAACTCGTTCGTGCGCGGCTCGGTCTGAAGCTCGCCTCCAAGTAAAGCCGCACACTCGGTTTCCATGTTCACTTATGCCTGAACTGGGGTGGTCTGCGTTCAAACAGGTTTTTTTTTTTTTTTTTTTAACCCTCGGGTTACAGTAAAAAAAAAATCCAAGCAGACAACACACACACACACACACACACACACACACACACACACACACACACAGAATTACATGTCTCCACACATGCACATGCCACATTTGACTTGGCAGTATAGACAGAGATATATTTGCACATGTGTGACTGCGTGTGATGTGGTATCGTGACTCTTTCATCCAGATGCCAGAGAGGGCCCAGTAAATATACAGAGATCAAGAATGTGAAATGCATGAAGCCACTGATCTGCCTCTCTGATACATCAGTCAATACAATTACTTTTCTGTTTTTATTTCATGACCTGATAAATCAGCTTCAGTTTGTCTAAGGTGTCCCCGAAAGAGAATAAAACTACATAAAGCAGCATTATCACAGCGTTACACGACAGATGTAGAAGCTTTATTGAGAAAGATGTGACGGTGATAGAAGCACACCGAGTCACATGTAGTGAAGTCTTATCTCATGTTCTGTCTGTGTTTCCTGCTTCGCACAGTTGGTTAACTCTGTCCCCCACAGTTAATCTTAAAATGTCCCTAAAGAGAAAGTGGTCGAGGATGTGAGGGGGAGTTAAAGATGGAGGAAAGATGAAAGATGAGCTCCTTGATAACATATCAGAAAATGAGCCCCACACTTTTTTGGGATGATATGATCACATGTGGAAAGCTGTAAATGCAGGAGGGAGTAATGCATTGATATACAAGTAGTCGGGGGGGGGGGGAGAAATGTCTGTAGACGCAAATCCTGGACCATCTCTTAACCACATAGTGAACTTTGCAGTACGCACACATAGCACGCTAAGCGGTTGATTAAAGAGTTTGCAGGCCATATCAGTGGCTAGATACCAAAAAGTTGATGATGTAATCTAAGCTATAATCCATTTCACTCTCTACGGCTGAGACTGTGAATTATTATGAATTTATGTAGATACAATACACTAGGTCTGACTATGACCTGAGAGCCTGAATCGTCTAACTGGACCCTACAAATCTGGGAAATGGCTAAACCGTCTGGGCTTGGTAGCACATGATCTGTTAGACCAACACAAATCGGAACAAACATGGTACACAACAAAATGTCAAGTTGCTGGTACAATTGTTCAGTTCTTTCTACTTGAAATTTCTTTTTTTTTTTTTTCTATCTTCTGTCACACAGTATTGCTTAAATGCAGTGTCAGTTCTTAACTGTGTGTAAATGTTGATCCAATTGTGAAACCTGTGAGTTTAGCGGATTAAAACAATCCAGAGATAATATGATTCAATAAATTGCTGCAACAGCGTCTCCACCGTGTTTATGATGAACAGGAATCGAGCGTGACCCAGCATGCTGTTGCGACAGTGCAGTAAATTTAGGAATGTTTATGTCCAAGCAGACACAGAGACACCTCAGACTCAGGACTGTGACCCACATCCTCAGGGAACTTACTTATCACCTAATTTAGTATTATTCAGGATGAAATTGAGACAGTGTGTATATTAAGGCCCACTTTTGGTTCGATGTAATTATTTTTTTTTGTAAATTGATAGTACTTGAATGAGACTAAATAGTTCTTGTTGTTTTGACGTGTTTAGATTGTTCTTTAATCCGCTGTTTCTGTGTCTGAAGTTCCTTCTTACATTTAGCCCCAGAAGTCAAGTGAAGAGTGTCACTGGTTGGATAATTGCTTTGTTAGGTCTAGTCTGCCTGGGTCTTAAACATCCTGTTAATCACTCACCGTCTTATTTAAACAATCAGCCTATTGTGTAGACTTTGACGTTATAAGCCGACAAAAGCCCCACTCGGCCGCCTCTAATGGACAGCAGTGTTATTATCGGTGTTGGTGGCTGCTGGAGTTAAGTAGTGACCAGCCGGGTAGGTGGATGATGAGATGACGGGAAGGGTTGAAGACATAAAGAGCATCTTCGTGACTCGGTTAGCGACGGGACGTACTCGCATCTTTTTCATCCTGAATCCAGCATTTTACTGCAATACTTCCCACCTTTTCTGTCAAAAAGGAAACTATTACTGAAAATATGAAATTATCTGTTTTTGCTAATGACAGAATGTGTACATTGTAAACTGTAAAAACATTGCAAAATCTATTTACCTTTAGTTTAATTTTTTTAATTCCTTTTTTAAGTTTTACTGAATCAAATCATTGTTTTATCTAAAAGTTGAGTCGGCTTCTGTCCATTTGGCCAAATTGTTCAATTCAAAGTGAGGTTTCTCATCTCTTTTTGAAAAATGGGTTAGTTAAGGAGTAGGTATGCCTGATGCGACTTTCAGTCCCGATACAGATATCTGGGCTTTGGGTAACTGTCGGTTCCGATACAGAAAGAATGATCACAGCTTATTCATTTATATATAAGGCATCAGGCGTGATTAAACATGGTTTTCCTTACTTTGTAAAACAAAATGTAAACAAATACATGGATAGAAATGTGCTAAATTGTTATTTATTAAAATGATGGTATCCAACACCAGATCGGCCCGGGTGCTGTTTTGGAGATATAAATGCAGGGCAAGAAGTGCAGTGTTTGCATCTTTTGAGGGCATTTAACCCATTCTATTCAGAGTTGTTTTTGCTTTGGAGGACATTGTAAGGCAACAAGGAAACACTTGTTCGTCTGTGGTGTTTCATTAATCTTCTCTGTTTGTCGCTGCATCGCTCTGTTGACCTCCTGGTCACACTATTGTTCAGCCACTTGTGTCTGCAGGCTCTGCCTCACATAGACCACCTACGGGCTAAGTATTCCCTACACAGATGCCTAATGCCCTCCTTGCTGTGTGTTTTTCTGCCCCCTTTATGGCCTTTCAGGGCCTTAACAACCCACGGAATTGATATTTACATCGTAATTTAGACTAAAGTCAGACTGTATCACAATGTGGTTCTTAGAAAAAGAATCGGTGGCTTGTTCACATGGGGATATCGGCGTTTCACGAGACCCTCTTGATTGTTTGCTCCTTGAGTTTTCTCAGTTATTTCGTGCAGTTCCCTTTTTAACTCCCTCTCTCTTTGATTTACAAGTAGACGTGAAGTTGTTATTTTACTGCTGCGATCGTTGCAGCTGCTAATCAACTAAAAGTGTCAAGAGGGTAGATAGTCTGTATTTAATCAGAGTAAAGAGACTGACTCAGATTATTAATGCTCAGAAGACGGCTTAAAAATGCAAGAACACTAAGTAGGAGAATACGAGTAAAGACGGTCCTTCCTCTAGTTATTGTCTGGTCCGTCGACGAGAGTCAAAACCATGAGCAGTATGTAGCAGGCGTGCACTCATTTGTGTGGGGAAATATAAGGTTACATGAAATGGAAATACTCAAGTAAAGTACCTGAAAATTGCACTTAAGTACAATACTTGACTACACCACCGCTGCTAGAGACCAACATCTTTTACAAGAGTACAACGTCCTTTTTGAATCTTAATCTTGCCGTCAAAGTGCAGCAGATTCATGCATTTGGTTTTAAAAGATTTCCTTCCGGGTTAGCGTGCCCCAGGACCCCCTCCCCCCCTAATGGACTTGGCAGGTTCTCAGTTTATTGTACTACTCAGCACTTTGACAGAGGCCATGGAGTGAGTGGAAGCCTTGTATGGTTGGTTGCTTCCTCTCATTCAATAAATTGATCTCGCTTGAGACCCTTTTTAATTAGATTTTCCCAGAATCGGTTAGAAACCACTCTAGGTAAGGATATCACTGTAAGTCAACAGAGCAAATGGGCATTATGTGTTTTCTTCATGGAGCAAAAGTGGACAAACCTAAAAGTAATGCGTCAACGGGGGCTGAATTCACTCGCATAAAGTCGATTGTCTAACCCGGAGGCTACCGGTTAGAAGTGGTGTCCATAGATATGTTGTCTCTTTTATAAAGGCTCTATATTTCATTTAGAGCGTCTGGCAGGTCAGCAAGGGCTCCGTTTCAATAAAGTCTTCCTCTCTTTCTTCCCTCCCTGAGGCTCTTCTGGTGTCAAGAGATGACTAATTCCTTAACCTTCCTGAACCATCGGCGGTACAGTTAAGGACGTTTTCTGGGACTTCCCTTTGTCCCTTTCCTCCCCCCCTTACCTTCACTATTTTCTCACTCCTTCTCCCCGCCCCTTGACTTCTGAGATGTAATCCTAGCAGTGTGTGTGTTTCTGTGTGCGTGTGTCGTTTTCCACATGGGAATCCCATGAAGATCGACTTTGTGCAGAGGTTGTGAAATGTGAATTGACGCAAGACAAGAATTTCAATAATGGTTTTCATTTCATAGCTCTCTGGGGCTGAGCTCGTGTGTGTCTGAGATCAAAGTCTGTGTTGTGATTCTGGTGCAGTAGATTGTGTAGGAGGAGGTCAATGTCTAGACAGGCTTCAGAATCTGGTGAACAGATTAATGCTGAACAGCTGTAGGCCTAAGCATGTGTGTGCTTATCTTAATGAAAGTACCATGCATTTTTAATGTTGCACATTAGCAGCCATGTTGATTGTAGTAATATATTTCCTAACTGTAAGTGAGGGTAAATGTGCATGTTAGCAATTATCGTATTTCCGTTTCCTGAGTGGGATATTAACTTTTCCGGATACTTGGTCATTTCTGTACAGCAGAGTCAACCGAAGGTTTCATTTTTCTGGTGGTCAGCCCAAATATATACTAGGCCTCCTTTTTCATTTTGTGGCCTTGGTTTGGCATTCTTAAGCGGGGTGTAATACGGAGCTTCAGCCAGCTGAACTAAAGTCCCTTGTGCTTTTACTGACTT